GACGGCTTAGGGTGTCAGCCACTTTGTTTTCATTCTGGCTTTGTGTCGGATGGTTTAGGTGTATTCCTGAAGAAATTCGACCCAGTGACCATGTCGTGCATTGAGTTTCTTTTGCGAATTTATGTAACGCAGGGCTTCATGGTCAGAGAAGATGACAAACTCATGGGGCAGTAAGTAGTGTCTCCAATACCTAATGGATTGAATGATAGCATAGAACTCTTTATCATAGGTAAAGTACCGCTGTCGGATGTCATTTAACTTCTCACTAAAATACGCGATAGGATATCCCTCTTGTGATAAAACTCCTATACTGATCCAGATGCGTCGCAAGTCACTTCAAAAACTTATGAAAAATCGGGTAGACGCATAACTGGAGCTTCTACCATTCTCCTCTTTATCTCCTCGAAAGCCTTAGAGACAGACGCAATCCATTGAAAATCTCCTTTCTTCAGGCAGTCGGTTATGAGTGCCACTATCGTGCTAAAGTTTCAAACAAACCTCCTATAGAATATGGCCAATCCATGGAAACTCCGAAGATCTCTGATAGTCTTAGGTTCAGACCACTCATTGATTGCTCGTACCTTCTCGGAGTCGGCTGAAATTCCTTGCGATGATATTATAAACCCTAAAAAGGTGACGCTAGTTATGAGGAACATACATTTCTTGGGATTTGCATAGAGTTGTTCTTTCCTCAAAACATCACAGACTTGGCTTAAATGATTTAGATGTTGATCCACCGAATTACTGTAAATTAGGATATCGTTAAAGTAGACCACGACGAACTTACCAAGAAATGGGCGAAGGATTTGGGTCATAACTCTCATAAAAGTGCTAGGGGCGTTGCTGAGACCAAACAGCATAACCATCCATTCATACAGTCCGTCTTTAGTTTTAAATGTCATATTCCATTCGTCCCTAGGTCGGATCCTAATCTGATGATATCCACTCTTTAAATCTATTTTCGAAAAAAGGGTTGCTCCCGTCATCATGTCCAACATGTCATCCAGGCGGGGAATGGGGAAACGATACTTCATAGTAATCTTGTTGATAGCGCGGGTATCAACACACATCCTCCAAGAGCCATCCTTCTTGGGAGTTAGGAGTGAAGGAACAGCACAAGGACTTAGGCTCTCTTTGATGAATCCCTTCTGGAGTAACTCATCAACTTGTTCTTTTAATTTGGCGTGCTCTTCCGGGTTCATTCTATAGTGGGGAAGGTTGGGTAAAGAGGCTCCGGGTACTAAGTCTATAGCGTGTTGGATGTCACGCAAAGGAGGTAGATGGTTAGGGAGGTCCACTGGAAAAACATCAGCAAAAGTGTCAAGGAGGGTTTGGACTTCTTCAGGAATGGGTTCTCCCAGCTCTGGATCGGCTTCTCGTGCCACTAGGGCATACAAAGGTGCTCCTTTACTCAATTTAACATCAACTTCCTTAATTATGGTGACCTTACAGGAACTAGAACATTGCGAGGCAATGTGCCCATACCCATGACACCTATAACACTTGGTTCCATAAGTGGCTTTGGGAGTGTCATGCTCGGGGGTCTTACCTTTAAAATCAGGGCGAGGTGGAGCTGGTCTAGCAGTTGGTCGGTTAACTATAGAGCCCGTGGGTCAGTTTTGGGGTTGACCGGAGGAAGCTCTATAAGGGGTTGTGCGGGGGTCAAACTGCTTGGTGTGGGAATGGATCCTAGACTCTTCGAGGTCAAGCACTAAACTGCAGGCTGCTTCTAAGGTATCAACTCCTCTCGCAAAAAGCTCATCTCGGAGATCTTCCCTAAGGCCAGCTCTAAATATGGATAGGAGTTGAGCAGGGGTAGTGAACTCTTCACCATTGCAACGAATCTTGAAATTGTCGAAGGCAGAGATGTAATCTTTCACGGGCTTGCTTCCCTGGGTCAGTCTATTCCATTTGTCTAAGAGCTTAAGGTAGTATAAAGGAGGAAGATATTTTCTTCTGAGTTGTTGCTTCATAGCTCGCCAGTCGGTGATGGGATGCTCACCTCGAGCTGCGCGCATGTTTTCCATGTTTGTCCAGTATTGGTTGGCGCGACCAGTAAGTTTCATTTCGACGAACCTAACTTTCCTAGCTTCCGAAATGCTATACCATTTGAAATAACTATCCATCCCTTTGAGTCAATCTAAGAAGACTTGGGGGTCGAGGGTGCCATCGTAGGAATGGGCGTCTATTCGGATGTTCTTTAGTAGTTGAGCATCGTTATCTCTCCAAGTGGGTTCATTTCCTACGGGATCCTGATTAGGTCTAATGTTATGACGATAGTGATCCCGCGATGGTCCATAATCAGTCCAGGCTTCCTCACCGTAGGGGGAGTGCGGCCTATAAGGGGTGTAAATTGCGGGGTGTCCTAATCATTCAATGTTATATAGTCGATCACCGGTTTGGCATCTAAAGTCCGCTAAGTCAGTCTGGGTGTTCCTAATTTGATGAGTAACTGTCCCAAGTTGACCCATTATGAGGTCTAGAGTCGCTTGAATATGTTCCGGATCCATGGGTAGATGCTAGGAGACGCTAGGGGAGGTACCGGGGTGGTGGACAGCACCTAGACACTAAAATAATATGCTCCTGATGCCTCTAAATGATGCTGAAATGATCAAGACAGCAAACTACAACAAGGACCTAAGTTGTCTAAGTGTTTTGGATGGTTTCTAGGGTGTGGACGGTGGACAGCACCTTAACTCTTGCCTAGACTCACCTAAAGGATAATAATTGGTGCAGGAATTTTCTGGACAACAAGACGAATAAGGGTTTTAAAATTTTCTAGGTGATAATGAGCATGCAACGACACTTAAAATTGAAGTTAAAGTTCCCTAGGATGACTTCTAGCATGCATAGCCTATGCTAGCCATGCTCTGATACCAAATATGATGTGATACATGCATGGAGCTACAAGAGATTAACAAAAGAATTTATTAAAAGTTAGCCATCATAAAGTTATGCATCAAATCAAAGTAATTTGTTAAAATTCGCCGTCTTCCACTTGCTTAGGCAAAGAATTACATGAAGATTGACCAAGACACTCTCAATCAAATACAAAGGAGAATGTAATGTAATAGCTTATAACACAAATCCAAAATTTAATATTGAGGTGTTCTACGGTTCTAGGCTTAGCGGTGGAAGATCTTCCACACTAAAAGTGAGATGACCACTAGGAAGGACGAGCTGAGGAGCTTGGTTGTTGGGAAGGTAGCCGGAGTTGGAGGAGGTAAGGAGTGTCCGATGAGGAGCCACGAGGTTCTTGGTCGTTAAAGCTCGATGGTCTCGGCGAGACAATACACAATGCGGTTGACGTAGCATTCTACTGTGTCGTTGTACTCCCAATCCGGTTCGTAGAATGGTGAGAGTAGGATGTCGATCTCACCTTGGGCGTTGTAAGCAAAGTCGTGATCAACTTGATCCGTCATGCATTCTTGTCGGGAGATGAAGGAGCACCAATAGAGAGAAGAGGGAGAGGAGAAGTGTAAGTGGCGGTTTGGGGGGGGATGGGCTTGGCCGTGAGCTAGAGGGAGAGGGTGGAAGTGGGCCGTAAGGGTGGAGGGGTTTGGGCTCGGGTGAGGGAGACTAGGAGCGGGTGGGCTAGGTAGAGGGAGGGAACAAACCGGAATTTAATTTCAAGTTTCCAATAAAAGAAAGGATTAATTTCAAATTCAGAATTTTAAATTCAAAATCAGGCTAGGAGGGAAGGGGAATTAATGGTGTATTAATGGGAGAGAGAGAGGGTGGGGTGGCCGGCCATATAGGGAGGAGAGGGGCTTTGGAATTAAGTAAGTGGGGCCCAAATGATATTAATTAAGTTCTAATTAAATCTGATTTTAATTTCAGATTTAATTAAATTTAAAATATCTTCCTAATTTGGTTTGTAAAGAGAGGGAAAATGTTTGGATTTCAAAATAGATTTACATTCCCTTAAATGACTTTCCTAAATAGAGAAAGACTAATTAGGAAAGTAATTTAATCTAGGGGAATTTGAATTTCAAAGGGGTTGGGTTAGGGGAGAGCCTGCGGCAAGGTGGGAGGCCAAGGGGCTGCAGGTTGGAATCGGCGGGCTGGCAGCCGACCGTGGGAGCTAGGAGGGCCGCCGGTGGATGGGCCGGCCAAGGGAGGCCGACGGTGGAGCTATTGTGTCGGTGGGGGGATTGAGAGGGTGGTGAGGCTTCGGTTAGGTAGGGGAAGAAGAAGATGGGTGTAGAGAAAAGGAAAAATTTAGAGAGCTACAAACCTCAAGTACCACCTCCTCAAGAACTCACAAAGAGATCTTGGGAATATCACGAACTTACAAAGAGATCCATAATAAGAAAATTTCATTCATCAACATTATCCAATACAATAGAGGAGGCCATAATATATAGGCCTAAGGAAACAAAAAAAGTACAATGACGCAAATGCCCCTGGGTCAACAACTCAAGAAAACTAAAAGAAAGGGTACATTCGGGAATATAAATTAATACATATCATCAAAATAAAGGTTGCGGATCGTGGCCATCGATCTACGCCTCCTGCGCTGATATACTCGTCGAAAACGCCTGTCGATGTCCTCATCAGCAACTTTTCTCCTACAATAATCCACTAGTTCGTGGACAACTTTCTACTTTTGTTATGCAGTTAAGTCTACCTTTCGGTATTAAAGACTGATTTTCATATTTATTTCTTTTCTAGATGGTTATTTCTCAACCTTTTTATGTACCACTTCTTTCATTTTTTTTTTCAAAGAACAAGGAAATAAAAATCAGCAATAAAGTCTCCTATTACTATTCTCCTCTCAACTCATTCTATTTTTTTAGCCAATTTTTTAAAATTGGCCAAAGCAGGTCAAAAATGCAAGTTTATGATCTGAAATTGGAGCTTTTTTTCTTATTTTCAGGTTGAATATCCAAATCTGAAACTGAACATGCAAACTTCGGTTGCAAGTGCTGCTTGATTCTGCAAGTTGCTAGTACGCTAAAAGAAGAACATCATTCAAAGTTGGCCGCAAGTTTGCTCACCTGCAACTTGGCCACTAAAAAGAACTGAAAGCATTACATAAAAATCCTCAGGATCTTGTGGCTGGAAATCAAAGACGACTGCCTGCGAAATATAATTCTCATGAAATTTTCAGAAAGATGTTGATCATTAAATTAGTTTAGTAAAAGATACTCGACCAAATAATAAAATGAAGAGTTTTATTTCAGTAGGTTTTATAAACACTTGGATTACACAACAGATAGTAAGAACCGTATGGCTGAATGCTGAAAAAAATAATTAGATAATGCACTTTAGATTGGGCTATCCGCTTAACAAATAACATTCTCCGAGAATTTAATAATTTACCTAATGATATTAAATAAGACAGCATATATAGTTTGTCCCTGAGCATTTAATAATTTACATTAAGATATTAATTAAGACAATATATATAAATACGTGCCACCAGATAGAAGTTGGACTCTGTGGTACATAGAAACGCATACTTCATGAGGTAAAATGTCCAGATGGCATTGGACTGGGTCCATATGCAAAGGAGTTAGCATAAGACTGGGATGTGGGCTGCATTCATAATTTAGTGAGGGTAAACCATGGGTATTCTTTTGGCATGAACACAGTAGGCGGGAGATGAGATTCCTTGTACAAATCTCAAGATAATTTTCCTTTGGGGCGAAGCTAAGCGTACTTTGTAATTTTTTCACATTTTGTGAAAGTTTTTATTGCTATCAGTTGTAGATATATGTGGGCTCCAAAAATTCGCTCCCTAGCCTCCCCTCGCTTTTTCGGGGAGAGTTTTAACAAATTAGGTTCAATGGTAAATTTTTAAAAGCCATGTTGGGTTTGAAATAAAACACTACTAAGAGATTTCACCCTCATTTTGCGTGGACTTTTTAATTTGCCCCTATAGTTAATTACCCCTCCTAATCACAAGAGAGAACTTTCAATTAAGGCAAGTCGTCAAATGAATACATCGTATCCGTAGATATGTGATATCCAGCATATAATAGCAACATTGGTTTAGGTTTGGAAATTTAATATTTAAAATTGAAATTTCACCATCTTGCACTTAAAGCGGATGGTGGGGGGAGTGATGATGAGTCCGATCAAGATCCCATGGTTCCATCGTCCAGGGTCATCATGATCCGTGGTCTACTTAGTCAGAGGAAGTAGTCGACCCAACTTGACAAAAGGATCCTTGTCAGTAGCCACGGGTTGCGTCATCCAAGGGTACATTGTAGACCAAGGGTGGATATTCTAAGGGTACAAATTTTAAATCCACCTTAGCTAACAAAGGGCTTTATAACCTATGGATTATATTCTATTAATTCATATCTCAAAGATTTAATACCATTGGGGAGCATACAGGTGCTAACCATAACCGTAATAAAATGGGGCCATTTTGCGACAAATTTACCTGATTCAGATGATCCTTATCATAATTGTTTACCAGTGGCGCCATTTGTGGCGAAATCCAAAGTGTGATGTCATTTGCAGCAATCACTAGTTAGAGGACACATGCCACGTTCATACTGGCAAGTCATAGATAGAGAATGAATAATAATGATATACTCGACTAAACATTAGCTCTTTGTGAGCTAGAGTAGTTTTCAGATTTGTCCACCTCAGCAAACTATTGCGGAGGGTAGATGGGTTTTGATTTAAGCATTTTGAGGGTTTATTTTATCTTTAAATATCTGAAATTTGGTATTTTGGAGTTTTGAATTTTTATGGGGATTTGGATGATATTTGCTTGAATATTTGTGGTCCCATCCGGTTGAGTTTTTCATTAAACGTGGCTATCATCTGGATGCCATTGTAGTCATTTGAAAATATTAGTATTTTGTGAAAGTTTGAGGGCATTTGAAAATATATGATCCCCTCTAATTGAGATATATATTAAACACGGTCATCATCGAAGAGTTCATGGGTTATTACATTTTTGTTGATCGAACATTGTCAACTCTGCCTACTAGCCGACAGAAGATCGGGTTCGAATCTAAATTTACTTTTTAACCCACGCGACATTATCAAACGTCACATGTGTACTTACAACATGCTCACCAGGGCCTAAATGAGTATATGAAGTTAGATGCCTTTCACACAATGCATTCACGTGTGTACGTGATATAATTTTTTAAAATACAATTGTAGTGATACCCTTTGCTTATTATAAATGCATGCGGAGGTATTTTAGAAATACAACTATAGTGTCAAATGACACACTAGAGTGATACCCTCTGCTTATTATAAATGCATGCAAATGTATTTTTGAAACTCATATATAATGTCAAATGACACACTAGAGTGATACCCTCTGCTATGCAGAAGGATGAATTTTTAAATACAATTGTAGTGTCGAGTGACACACTGGGGTGAAACCCTCTGCCTACCAACAATACATGTGGGAGGTCATTTTGAAATACAATAATGATGTCAGAATGACAGGTTAAAATGAAATCCTCAGCATCCTACAGATACATGTCAGAATGACAGGTTAGAATGAATGCCTCAACTTCTAATGAAATAGAAGTCGAAGATGAAATTCTTATCATTTGCATAATATTCTAATTATGTGCCAATATTCTTTCGTATTGAGAAATGGCCAAATTTTTAAAAGGAGCCAGATGGCATGGAAATTTTGCGAGAGGAGCACAGCCGGAGATAAATTTAAGGCAGAGCAGATTCGTCGAACCTATTGGCAGTTGGCGCAGTCAGAAAACACTAAACCATATAGCGCATTCATCCAATAGCTTTGGCATTTTCAATGAATGTGCCAAAGCTTCTGGAGCATTCAAGCAACTACCTTTGATGTAGACAAAGGGGGGGTCAAATCAAACCCAAAAAAATTTGATTGACTCTCCAGCTCATTAATGTCAAGTGGAAGGTTAGCTCATTATGAGCTGGTTTTTAGTTCATTTATGGAGCTAAAAATGAGCTCATTATTTATTTGATCTTGTCTATTCTCCTTCCCCCCTTTGTCTATTCGTTTCTCGTGCTTGGCTCTTGGGTTCTCGTGCCATGGCTCCTTGGTTCTCACGATGGCTATTGGTTTTCCAAGCTTGGGGGGTTTTCCCGTGGCTTTGGCACCTTGGTTCCGTGCGGCCTCCATGGCTCCCGCGGTTGCTCCTTCGGTTCCTGGCTAGGCTGTTTCCCGTGAATGAATGGGGGCTTTTCCGTGGCTTTGGTGCTTCGTTTCCGGGAAGTGACTGTTGGTTTTTCATATTTCCTATTTAAATAAGCTTTTAAATTAATGTTGTGGCTGTTTGTATTCCCCCTTTCATACTTATAAATATGAGGGATTATGTTATGTTTTAGGTATGTTATGTGATGTGATTTTTGGAAATTTAAACCTGCGGGTTTCATTGGAAAAGCTTGCGAGCTTTATCCACTTCTTCTTCTCATCCCCTCCGAAAATCTTGCGAGCTCTTTCCAACCTTTCGTCTTGGCTTCTAACCACTTTCGTCTCTCCGCAAGTGCCACTCCACCTGTATCCCTCTTCTCTAAGTGAAGCAATTTTAGGGTGTCTTGTTTGAGTCAAGTTTGTTTGAGTCAAAGTTTGTAAGTCTTTCATTTTTATAATATTAAAGTTTGTTTTAAGCATTTTATGTCTTTATTTTGTATCTTGGAAGGTTGTTCTTTTCTTTGGTCAAAAAATATAGGGTCCCCTATATTTTTTGACCGCGTCATTTGGTATCAGAGCAAGTTAGGAAGTCCTAGGTTTGTAAGTTTGTCAAGTTTTGTTTGTCAAGAAAAATCTTAGTGAATCATAACAGTTGTTGTGATTCTTATGAGTCTTGTCTTGTGAGTCAGTCTGTCAAGTCAAGTCTTGTCGTGTAAGTCTTGTTGTGAGAGTTGTGTGAGTCTTGTTGTGTCAGTCTTGTAAGTCAAGTCAAGTCTTATTTGTGAGTCAGTTTGTCAGGAAAATCTTGCGAGTCGTGTGTGTCTTGACATCATGTTGAGTCTTGGTGTCTCTTGGTGCAATGCCTTCAGAACAAAGCTAACTCATCGGAAGATGAGTTTTTCAAGAAGGGGAGAATCTGATGTAGACAAAGGGGGGTCAAATCAAACCCAAAAAAATTTGATTGACTCTCCAGCTCATTATTGTCAAGTGGAAGGTTAGCTCATTATGAGCTGGTTTTTAGTTCATTTATGGAGCTAAAAATGAGCTCATTATTTATTTGATCTTGTCTATTCTCCTTCCCCCCTTTGTCTATTCGTTTCTCGTGCTTGGCTCTTGGGTTCTCGTGCCATGGCTCCTTGGTTCTCACGATGGCTATTGGTTTTCCAAGCTTGGGGGGTTTTCCCGTGGCTTTGGCACCTTGGTTCCGTGCGGCCTCCATGGCTCCCGCGGTTGCTCCTTCGGTTCCTGGCTAGGCTGTTTCCCGTGAATGAATGGGGGCTTTTCCGTGGCTTTGGTGCTTCGTTTCCGGGAAGTGACTGTTGGTTTTTCATATTTCCTATTTAAATAAGCTTTTAAATTAATGTTGTGGCTGTTTGTATTCCCCCTTTCATACTTATAAATATGAGGGATTATGTTATGTTTTAGGTATGTTATGTGATGTGATTTTTGGAAATTTAAACCTGCGGGTTTCATTGGAAAAGCTTGCGAGCTTTATCCACTTCTTCTTCTCATCCCCTCCGAAAATCTTGCGAGCTCTTTCCAACCTTTCGTCTTGGCTTCTAACCACTTTCGTCTCTCCGCAAGTGCCACTCCACCTGTATCCCTCTTCTCTAAGTGAAGCAATTTTAGGGTGTCTTGTTTGAGTCAAGTTTGTTTGAGTCAAAGTTTGTAAGTCTTTCATTTTTATAATATTAAAGTTTGTTTTAAGCATTTTATGTCTTTATTTTGTATCTTGGAAGGTTGTTCTTTTCTGTGGTCAAAAAATATAATGTCCCCTATATTTTTGACCGCATCAACCTTCCATTCAATCTAGCCTAATCCGTATTCGAACAGTTTCGTGAAATTTGAGGATTTCATTTCATGATATCTGACGTTTCTTAATTTTTAAGCTTATTATACGAAGTTATAGTTTATATACAAGTATACTTATAAGAAAAAAAATTATAAGAATAATTAAACAAGCAAAATTTTTAAAAGGATC